TCTACGATGGGTCGTAAGGGCCAGTTCTCTTTGTGTATTTTTGGTAGGTGTAATTTCCGTCGTTTGAAATAAGAGGTGTTTGAGTTTCTCTGAAATTTTCTTGTCATTTTTCCATTTGTTTATGAGTGTAACTAAGTTTCTCTTGTATTTCTGAGTTGGATTGTGTGTTAGACATTCATACGTACTGTTATCTGCTAACATCGTTTTCACTTTTTCTTTATAATCTACTGTGTTTAGAAGAACTGTTGCTTTTCCTTTATCTGCAGGTAGAATTAGAATGTTTTTATCCTTTTTTAATTGATTAAGGGCTTTTCTTTCTTCAGATGTTATGTTGTTAGGTGGTATCTTTTAACCTCTAATAAGGTCCCGTTCGTTTTCAGGCGTTAGCTTACATGCTGCCTCGGTGGCTACGATCAACTCATCCACGGGTTTGGTGTCTCTGCTTACCGCAAAATTAAGGCCTCGTTGTAATAGCTCACGTTCTTGTTTAGAGATTGTCCAGTCAGATAAACCACCCATTTCTCCTTAAGTTGTGTTCCATTCAGATCTAATTCTTGATGTAATTCCTTTTCTAGATTTTTACTTTTGTTTTTCCACCAGTCTAGCTTACGTTTTTGTCTATCACGAACCTTCACATACTCAGCTTCCTTACTGTTGGTTATGAAATTCCGTATAATGTTATTATCCCCTCTGTCGGTGATCGTTTCTCCGATTTTCTTACTTAGAATTTCCTCTTCAACACCTAGTTGTTTAATGTTATTCGTTGTTAATCTTATCCTTTCTTGTAATAATTGTCTTTCTGTTTTCTTAATGATGTTTAACCCTTGGTTTGTGTTAATTGGAACTCGTAACCGCAGGCTAGGGAGAGTGATGTTCAGTCATTTGCAATGCAGCGAAAATACTCAGCGGTTTCTTTGGTGCGAAACCTTCTTCACTAATTTCTCCTGTTGGCGTATTAATTTGACGCAATTCTAACCATATTTAAAACGAATATTTTGAAATAAATTCATTTGGATCCAAATATAATTTGTATGAATTTTTTCATTAGTGTTGATCCAGCAAAATAAAAAACAATAGTACTCACACTACGTTTCGCGGACGATCCGTTCGCTTTTTCAAGTAGACTGGTGGCGATTTTTTTTTTCCGTACGAAACATTTGCATGAAGATCCACTCGGGTTGTCTCGACTGACTCGTCTCGAAAATCGCAATTCCGGAGGTCAAAAGGTCATCAACCAAAGATAAACGTCTACAAAACTTATGAGAAACAGGATTGCTGCTCGCTGTCTGATTTTGAAAAAAACACATTGCCATTCAAATATTATGAGTCTTTTAAAACGACATAATATGTATTATTTGATTTCGCTGCACGAATAATAAAAAGTGTTAGGCCCTATTTGAATTATTTGAGTTACATACTGTGAAAATTTTTATTTTTTAGTTGGCCGCGGTTTTGGATAATTGTTTAACCTATGTCATGAAGAATTAGAGTCAACTCGGCCCCAATTTACTGTGTACGGTATTTATTGAATATTTACCAAGAGATTTGAATGCAAAGCCAAAATTAAAGTGTTTTTAAATCGTTGCCTTTGTTATTTCGTTTCATTTACATGCACTTACAATAATTAAAACTGCATTAATAAAAATAATATTAAAATGATATTAATAAAAATCATACAAAGGTGTCATGATAATGCCACTAAGGCATATACTGCCCTCTATCTCAAGTAGTAGGCCTACAATATGGTGAATAAATATTGAGGCCCGCGTTACTTCACATGGAAACTACAATCTGTGTTAGTCTGAGTTATTGAACTCCATTGCACACATGCACATGACATGGTGACAGCGGTGGGTTTATAAAGGTAATTGTGATACTTGAATATACGTTGAAAACGTCACGTACATAATTACATAAAACAAGAAGAATGGCTAAACTACGACCACCAGCAACCTTCGATTTTGCCCGACCGTCAGCATGGACCGAGTGGCGCCAGAGATTCAAAAACGCTACAGGATAGCAACCAAATTGCATGAAGAAGAAGGTATATACAAGTGAGTACGTTGATATACTCCATGGGAATGGAAGCCGAAACAATCTTTAAATCATTTGTTTTTGAAGAAGATGACGATCAATCGGATTACAGTAAAGTAAGAGAGAAATTTGATGAACACTTTATTCTCAAAATCAATGTAATTCATGAGCAAGCCACGTTCTTTCAGAGGCAACAAAATGAAGTTCAATCTGTTGAGGAATACGTACGAGATTTGTACGATATGGCTGAAAAATGTAATTTCCAAACACAGGAGGTTAAGACAGAAAATATTAGAGATAGGATCGTCGTAGGACTAAGAGATAAAAACGTGTCCAAAGACTTACAAATGATGACTAAGCTCACACTTGAGGGCGCTATTCAGTTTGCTAGAAATGCTGAACTAGTTGACAAACAAGTTAGAAACCAACAGCAAGGGCTAAGTACAGACAGTAAATCGAATGTATCCATTGCAAGCATGTCCAGGGGACGTGGCAGACAACTTTACAAATATAAGCCTAGACCAAATCAACCTAGAGTGGCTAGACAAAGCCGTAATAATAGTAGTGGTAGTGGAAGAAATACCGGTAGTTAACAATGCAGTCGTTGTGGTTATGCACATCAGCGTGAAACTTGTCTAGCAAAAGGTGTTGCATGTCGGCGATGCAACAAAAGGGGCCATTTTGCAAAGATGTGCCGCAGTAAAGGAGTTGGTGAAATGTTATTAAGTGATGAGTTTGAGGAGTTGTTCTTATGCACTGTGACATGCAGTGATAAAGATAAGCCTTGGATGGTGAATCTGAAAATCGAGAATGTTACGATTAAATTCAAGATCGATTCAGGAGCTGATGCAACAATAATATCCGAAAATACTTGCAATAGTAATGTAGTGGGATTTGGTATAGCGCATTATACCGAAGTCTCAATGCGCTGGAAAAAACAAAAACAAAAAGCAACTCCTATTGTAACCAAACTACAGATGCAGAGAAACAGACTGAGCAGAAGAACCAAACATCACTGCATCGTTCGCCTGCAATTTAAGACCATTGACAGGCAATGGTTGGCCGGCACATGATTCACAGATGCTCTCATGATGTAAGGCATCTATCTAATCAAGCCTATACTCAAATCACAAAAAAACAAAAGGCAGAAAAAAAAAAATGTATGAAAATTTGAAATTAGTAACAGGTATTGAAAAGATGAGTCTTCAATCGTGTCTTGAAAATAGCAAGAGTTGGTGCTTCTCTTACACTAGAAGGTAAGCTGTTCCATAGTTTTGGTGCTGCTACGTGAAACGATCTTTCGCCATACGTTTTTAATCGGCATGCAGGAACTTGCAGAAGAGTAATGTCTGCAGAAGATCTAAGGCGCCTGCCACAGTTAGCTGAACGAAGGACGATGAGGTTTGAAATGTAGGACGGGGTTAAATTGTGAAGTGTCTTATATGTAATAATCAGGATTTTGAATATGATTCTCTGCTTCACAGGTAGCCAATGTAGACGTTTTAGAACAGGCGTTATATGTTCAAATCGTGAAGTATTGGAAACGAGTCTAAATCCCAAGCCAAACGAGTCTAAATCCCAAGCCAAAGCTAATAGCAACACACACAACTTTCAAGAACTTGATAACGAAATTAGAGACGCGAGGGAAATTCACAGCTGAAACAATGCATAACAATGAACTAATCAGTACCAACATACAGGAAATCAACCATCAAACGATTGGCCTATGGAAAACTGACCCTGTCAAGATTCGACTTAAGGATGGAGCCATCCCATATCACATTAACACACCTCGTAGAGTACCACTGCCGCTCCTACCAAAAGTAGAGAAAGAGTTAAGGAGAATGGAGGAAGCAGGCGTCATAGAAAAAGTGACTGAACCAACAGAATGGTGTGCACCAATGGCAGTAACCCTAAGAAGTCAGGAGATGCCCGGCTTTGCGTTGATCTACGTCAACTAAACAAATCAGTCAAACGAGAAGGATATATCCTCCCAACTTTAGATGATATAACACACAAGCTAGCAGGTGCAACTGCATTTTCAGCATTAGATGCAACAAGTGGATATTTCCAAGTTCCTTTGTGCGAGGAGAGTTCAAAATTAACAACTTTCATCACACCGATGGGACGATACTTATTTAGGAGACTTCCTTTTGGTATAACTAGTGCAAGTGAAATATTCCAAAGGAAAATGCAAGATGTGCTGCAAAATGTGAAAGGTACTGCAGTTGTACAAAATGACATCATAGTATCAGGCCGTACTATGGATGGAAGAGCACGATTCTAGATTGAACCAGGTCTACGAAATGGTGGAGAAATCCGGACTCAAATTGAACAAAAGCAAATGCCAGATTAGACAATCAGAGCTGTTGTATATGGGAGAGAAGTTCAGCGCAGAAGAAACAAGCGTCGACCCAAAGAAGATAAAGGCCATATGCAGTCTAGAGCCACCCACAAATGTTAGCGAATTAAAACGCATACTTGGGATGGTCAACTACGTAGGTCGTTACATTCCAAAATTATCAGAAGTCACTCGACCAATGAATGAGTTACTGAAAGATTCAACTGCATGGATATGGGGACCAACACAACAAGATTCCTTTGAGCAAATTAAAGAATTAATAACAATAGCACCTACATTAACATTCTATGATCCAAACAAGCCGATTACTCTGTCAGCAGATGCAAGCAGTTACGGACTTGAAGCTGTTCTGCTGCAGGGAGAGAAAGATAATCTAAAATTTGTAGCGTATGCATCACGCACATTGACTGAGAGCAAATGCCGATACGCTCAAATAGAAAAATAACTTTTAGCAGGAGTATGGGCAACTGAACGGTTTCATAGAAATCTTTGTGGACTAGAAAAGTTTGAACTTCTCACAGATCACAAACCACTAGTTCCACTTATCAACAACATTGACCTTGACAAAATTCCGATAAGGTGTCAACGATTAATCATAAGGTTAATGAGATACAATCCGGTAGCAAAACACGTACCAGGTAAGGCCATGGTCATCGCAGAAACACTGTCCAGAAGCCCAATGAGTGTTAGCGAATCTACCACAAATGAAGCTGTAGCACTCTATGTTGAATCGATAACAACCACCTGGCCTGCATCAGCATCAAATCTAGAGCAGATAAGACGAGCAACCAAACATGAATGCCAAACACTTCTGAAATACATATTAGATGGATGGCCAAGACAGGTGCAGGACATTTCACAAAACCTAAGAAGTTTATATGATCTAAGGGGTCATTTCTCTGCTGATGATGGACTGATCACATTCGATGATAGGATATACATCCCATCTGAACCAAGAGGAGAAATCATGCAGCGTATCCACGATGGACACCAAGGTGTTACAAAATGCCGGAAGCGTGCCAAGGAAAGTGTGTGGTGGTTAGGTATTAGCAAGGACATATCTAACATTGTAAAGAAATGTGGACATTGCCAGCTATACAGGAGAACGCAAAAGAAAGAACCTCTAATTACCACTCCGATTCCAGAACGTCCATGGCAACGTATATCGATGGAAATTTGTGATTTCCAGAACAATCATTATCTTATAGTATCTGACTACTTTTCAAGGTACATTGAAATGATCAATCTACGAAAAGACATGACAAGCCAGAAGGTCATCACGGCAGTGAAAGGAATATATGCCCGTTGGAGAATCCCAGAGACTGTGGTTTCAGACAACGGACCACAGTTCGCATTCCGTCAATTCAGATTGTTTGCCGCAGAGTATGGATTTCAACATGTAACGACAAGTCCACTCTATCCTCAAGGAAACGGTGAAGCAGAGCGTGCTGTCCAAACAGCAAAAACTATGTTACGCCAAAATAATCCTGTACTAGCACTGATGATATATAGGTCAACACCAATCGAAGCAACAGGTTACAGCCCAGCACAAATGATAACCAAGAACAACATTGCCGACACTTGCAAAGAAATTGCAACCAAAATGGCCGGATATGCATAAAGTGAAAGACAACGACACTGTAGCAAAGAAGCGATATGAACACTTCTTCAATCAGCGACATGGAGTTAAAACCTTGTCCAATCTGAAACCAGAAGGCACAGTGCGCATTAAAACTAGTCACGACAAAAATTGGTCAAGTCCAGTAAAAGTTTAGTCTAAGTCTGAGGAACCAAGATCATACATCGTCTAGACCACAAGTGGACAGCAATTCAGGAGAAACCGGCAAAACATACAACAAATGCCGGATGCAAACAATGATAATAGTACTTGTGATAGCCGAATTCACTATGGAAATCATGCTACAAGAATCGACAACACAACTGAGCCTGAATCACCACGACCACACTCAAACAAAACTACACGGGCAGGACGTCGTATTAAACCAGTCAATAGACTTGACTTGTGAACTTTAAAAAGATACATTGTAAGATCTTTTTAAACAACAAGAATTAGTCAACAAACTGTTCCTCATTGCAATTTAATTAATATATAAAATAATATAAACCCAAATGATAATATTACAGTATGTTCATAAGAACTCAAAGAAGGGGAGATGTCATGATAATGCCACTAAGGCATATACTGCCCTCTATCTCAAGTAGTACAATAATGGTGAATAAATATGGAGGCCCGCGTGCGATTTTTTTTCCCGTACGAATCATTTGCATGAAACTTCACTCGGGCCATCTCGGATTGACTCGAGTGAGTACGAGGAATAAGAGCAGACACTTCGCAATGTCGTGACGCTCGAGTTTTACTATTATTGCTCTTTCTATGTTTATCTACGGTAGGCCTATGAAATCTCACGGACTTATGTGATGCACGTCACTGTGTAACGAACTGTGACCTTCTTGGATGTTATTAAATGTTAGTATATTATCTAAAACAACAGCAGCAGCCTAGACTGCCGTGATTTGGAAAAATGCATTAACTCCAAAATCCTAGTTTTGAGTTATTGAGCAAAACGCGTTTGTCGTTAGCCTTTTGTACTGGAAATGAATTATAGTAAAATTTTTTGGCAAATATACTAAACATATAATTAAAAAACATATTAAATAATTTTCATGGTGATTTTTGTTTTTTAACCCTATTTAAATGGAGATAATGCACTATTCCAAATTTTAACAGGAGTCAATGGTGCGTGAAAAATCTGAAGTTAGGCATTAACTCCAGTTTTTCCAGTGAAATGTGTATCTTACGTAGCCAAATTACAGTATTTCTGACACACAAATAATGTATGCCAGTGTCAATTATATATTTCACGAAATTTAGTCCATGTAGAAGTATTAATATTATAGTATAAATTTATAATCAATTTAGGAGTCGTCATTGTATTGACACGTATAAAAATAGATAAAATTAATATTATTGTTCAAATTAAGCTGCTATCATTTTTATATTCAATCAGAATACAATGATATTGATATATGATGGTTATATTATGAAGAATAATATTAATATACTTAGTAGAACCTCTAATTTACGTATACTAAATTTACAGAATTCTATTTTACAAACGCGAGGTTACATATTTCGAATCTTCATATATTTCGAATCATGTAAAAAGTGCCCAAATACAAAAATTATACTTTTTTATGCTATTATTCGAAATTAAAGACAAAATTCGGTGAGGTAAATGAGAGATTTTATAAAATGGTGTAATAGATAAATAGAATCTAAATGAATCAAAGTTAGACGAATTTTAGATTTTCTCTTTTATTTGTCAACATCATTTTACCAGCATGGAAGATAATGAAATATTCCTTTCTTAATTTTTTTGTGATTTTATTACTTTAACAGCATTGAAGATAATGAAATATTCTTTTCTTTATTTTTATTGTGATTTTATAACTTTTATCAGCGTTCAATATAATGATATTTTTTGTATTTTATTTCGATTATTGGCCTGATTTTTCACTCAATTATCTATCAAATCAGCAAAATATCCAACAGGCATGTTGCTCCAAAAGGCTTTTCTATTCTCGCTCATTAGTGGTAGAAGATTCTTTAATATGCCATTTTTTTAAACCGAAGTAAAGCTAGGCATTATGTGCATTTACAAGCTATCATGACTAATTAACTATGCGTAATTGTCTTTTGTGATTGGTTCATTATGATCTGTTTATTGCTTGGTGGAGATAATGCCTTCTTTCAAATTAGTCTGCATTCATGGATTGGAGTTAATGCGTAAATATAATATTTATTTCATATTTCTGGACATTTTTTGGGGTATATGATGAATTCACATGATAGATTACATCTATAGGATGCCATAGAAACAAAAATCCAAAAATCTCAAAAAGTGGAGTTAATGCCTTTTTCCAAATTACGGCAGAGTACCTCCTGTTATAAAGTGTAGATAGGTAAAGTTATACCAAAGGCTAGAGAGAAAGAGGATAAACTATAGGTCTAACTACAGGCTGAGATGAGGTCTTACCTAGGGCCCTCCTTAAACTAGGCCTAGGGTCATAGGCTGACACAACAGTCACGCTTCACATACTGACATGGACTGAATTTTTGGGGGAAAAAATGGGACAAAATTGAAGCATGAATTGAAAAATAAAGCACATAAGAGAAATATTATTAAATAAATAATATACCATTCGGGCGTTATTGAACTTGTCCAAACTATCATTGTAATGTAATTAATGTTAAATAATAATAATAATAATTTCAGCAT